TTAATATAGTGATATTTCGACTTTTACACTCATTTTCAAACAATACATAAAACATGTACACACAAATGAGGTAACACACACTAGGAACACATGACAGTTTTCTTTCCTTTAACTAGAACTCGATCAACTTTACTGTTTTCTTCTTTCTTTTCTTTTTTAAAAGATGTGCGCATATTTTAAGAAAGTACGTGGCATCATTGGTGCGAATGGAAAAACAAAGGTCACTGACTAATGTTTGGTGGAACTAGTTTCTTATCACCTAGACTATTATGTTTACTTTTGTTTTCTAAACCTTCGAAATAGTAAAGTTCATCGAGTTCTAGTTAAAGAAAAGAAAACTGTCATGTGTTCCTAGTGTGTGTTACCTCATTTGTGTGTACATGTTTTATGTATTGTTTGAAAATGAGTGTAAAAGTCGAAATATCACTATATTAAAGTAACAAGAATTTTTATTATGAAATTCTATACAGCTGCATTGACAATCTTACGTATAGTGACTTACGAGGGAACCTTTCCAGGTGTCCGACCGCTTTTCTAACGAAATGCAGGAGTTGCTAGGTATCGACTATGCTGATTCTGCATATGATAGCCGTTTCTGCCCATAGGTCTTTCCTAACCGGTTTCTGGAAAACTGTTTTTCCAGAAACCGAGAAATCCCCAAGAGCTTTTCTAAATAAGTCACAACTGTAGTCCACGAAAGTCTGATTAAAATGAGACATCTACCAGCTCTACATGACCTTTCTTTGCAAAGTATAGAATTTACAAGAAAAGCCCTAAATTCATCTTTCCTTCTTCTTTCTGTAACTCTGAGGTGACAATAAACATTTAGGGCTTTTCTTGTAAATCCTATAATTTTGCAAAGAAAGGTCGTATAGAGCTGGTAGATGTCTCATTTTAATCAGAATTTCGGGTGTTACAGTCTTGACTTAGTTAGAAAAACTCTTGGGGATTTTTCGAGGTTTCTGGAAAACCTGTTTTCCAGAAACCGGTTAGGAAAGACTTATGGGCAAAAACGGCTATCATATTCGGAATCAGCATGGTCGATTACCTATCAACTACCGCATTTCGTTAGAAAAGCGGTTGGACACCTGGAAAGGTTCCCTCGTTACAGATATTTATTTTTTATTCTTTCAGAATATAAGCAATATAAAGTTTATTACGTCATTTTAAAATTTAGACTAGCGAAAAGCAGTATAAATAAAAACTCGAATACGTAAATTCCAGTGAACTATAATTAATTTATTTTTACAACGTCAATGTAATGTGTAATGGTTAAGAACTTTTATGTCTATATTCAAGGTTTATTTCAGAAGAGTGATAAAAACTAGCAACTATCATGCAAACGTAAGAAACAGCCTGTTCTGTGAGAGAAGTTAAAAGTTTAGTTCAATGAAGGTACGAATTTAATTTGAAATATGTATGAATAAGATATAGAAATATGCATATCATTATCAACAACGAAACAAAACTAAAATCAATCTTAGTCAAAATGACTAAAATAGCATTTTCATATAGTTCACAAATCAAACGAGTGTTAGAGAAATATACATAACTAATAAATTAGCACCCAATCTTTAAAACGAAAACAAACATTAAATACGCGCACTAAAAATCGGATTAGAAACTTGTCGAACAATTCTTTCTCACAACAAAAAGAAAAACGATAAGAGACAGAAAAGGAAAAACTGATAAATCAACAATTCAAACTTGTTGTTGGATTTTAGCCCTGATAATGGAAATTTTTTTTGATTCTGACGTTTTTATCACAAAATGCTACTTTTGTATTTAAAAAATAACGGAAAAAATTTCGCTAGTTGATAATTTTTAGAGTGTAGTTACGTTTCAAAATGGATTAGAAAAACAAACAAAAAATCGAGTATGACTAGCGCGTTTGATTTAAAACAATCATAGTTTATAGGCATACCGGTAATGAACGAATGAATGGTGATTCACGTCTATGTACAGTACAGTAAATTATGGTTTTTAACAAAATCCTTAATTTAACGTTAATGGAGTCGAGGAACTGTTCACATATTTTCTAAACTGTTCATCTCATGAGTTCCATTGACAATATGAGACGCATGCTTTTGTTTTTTTCGATCTTTATCTTTAACAGCTAAATCGAGTGGTTCCGATGAGTCATGATTATTACTATCGTTTATATAAGATTGTTGATCAACAACTACATGCTTGTTTTCGGTTGATAACGATTGTTTACGTTTGAGAGTCGTTAAAAGTCCATCTTCTAATGATAAGTCTTGATTTAATATCATTTTAGTGGTGGTGGTATTATCATTGTCGTCACATGTTTGAGAAACTAGTTCATGTTTTGAACTTGAGATAATACTGCTAATAGTGTTATGTTTCTCAATGTGTCCATGATGACCATTAGCTGTTGTTGAGGATGATGAAATAACATTATTAACGTGTGATGAAAATTGTGGAAGATTATTTCGTGGGTAATAACGTGCAAATAATAATGGATTCAGGGCATACAATTGTGGATAAAACATTTGTAAGACATTGGGTGGACTGCACGATGATGATGATGATGATGAGGGTGGTAGTAACGACGTTGGGGTAGTTGGTAACACTCGGCTATTTCCATTATGAAGAATAGAATCTTGAACACATTCCTCTGATTTAGGCCGATTTGGCGATGGTACATCGTCACTTTCTAAACAATAAGCATCAAATTAGTTTATCATTTGGCATAGTCTACATTTAAACTCATTAGTTGACCTGATCCACATTTGGTTTCTTGTTCAATATCATTTTTTGCCTTTTTTGCTATATTCCATGACGGATTACTATTACCATTTCGTTTCATACTTTTTCGTATTTCATCTGGTGAACGCATAAATCTATTTAAAAGAAAGATAAAAGTATACGTGAACGTATATTTGTTTGAAAATCCTTATATTACCTATACAAAAGTCGTTTTGATTGTTCTTTCTGAATAATATTGTTACTGTAATAATATCTCATACCACGGCTTAATTTTTCATATGTCATGCTTAAACGGTTCTTTTGTAAACCTAAAAGAAAATTGAAACATTTATTTTTGATTTATGCTATGGTGAAATTTTGGAAATCGCTATGACAGAAACAAACCCCATAATGCTGCTAACTTATCCGCTTGAATAATACGAAATATCATCTTCTCTCGATTTTCCCATCGTATAATTGACTCATAAAGCGGATCTTCTAGTAGAATATATAAAAATTCCCATAATATTCGACAATCTAAAAGGAAAATAGAGAATAAGAAAAGGTTTTCAAAATAATTCTTACATTGAATAGCTCATACTTTTTGCTGCTAATGGTTTATGGAGGATATCACCACGAAAATCAATTTTATCGTGATAATAGCGAATGTGTCTTGTTTTATCACTATATATTTTCGTCGTATCAATCATATTATCACCCATCAATTCGATGGTATCTGCTCCATTATGTGATTCGGGCAATGCACAATTATATTTGATTTGATTCAATACTGATGTTGTTGTTGTTGATGGAGATGGTGAGAGAGATGGTGAGGAGAGCAAATTTTTAAGCGATGTGTCAAGACTGCAGTCTAATGGCGATTTTTCAACATCTAATTCTTCTTCATCTTCACTTTTAATATGATTATTATTATTTTCCAGTTGGTCAGAAATATCATCAGTTTGCTCAGTTTTAACGAAACATGTTGTAATGTCTATAGGCGGAATTGTTTTAGAATCATGTCGTATTGTTGTTCTCGTTGGTGAATTACCGTTTTTCTCAATTGTTTTTTGAAGATCATTGTTACCCAAAACACATGAGTTAACGGTATTGATTTCTAAAATTAAACGAAGCCAATAGTAGAAATAAGTAGAGCAATTTTTATATTCTTGATACCTGTGCATCGTTGTAGTTTACCGGAAGAATGTTTTTGATTTACAAAATCTTTATAACGTAAACTTGCATCTTGATTTTGATCTTGATTTAATGAGTCTAATGATAAAGTCTTTTGAAGTAATTGGGTTTCGTTAATTGATGGAGAAGTTAATGTGGTAACATTGTGTGATGATGATGGTGCTCTTGAACGTGATGCGGTACAATTTAATAGTGTCAATTGAACAGGCGTAAGAGATGACTGATGAAGCGTTGGTGACGGATGAGAAGAATATATGGATGAAGTTGAACCGGGTCGAAATAAGCTATTATGATGAAGGGATTCGCTGCTGTTGGTTGAAATTGGTGATGCAGACGAACGTGGTATGAGAAAATTAAATGCTGGATGCGTATTCAAATGACCATGTGTTAGAGGTTGATTTGTTGGAGGAAACGTTGTTGTAGTGGGTGTTGCTGAAGGAATATTTACACCTAGGCGACGGGTTGGATGAAGCGGATGATAACTATTCCATAACTGATATTGAAAAGCTAAATAAAACATTTGACTGGTTTTTTAGTCGATACAAGTGTAATGCGCCACACAAACCTAGGTTTGTACAGAGGGATGATTTGCTACAACGAACGCATGCTGTTGTAGCAGGAACATTAAGAACTACTTTTTTTCCGTGGTACAGTTCCTAGATTAACTTCCCATGTGGAGCTTCTTTTAAACCCACGGTATAGAAAAATATCGCACGACAACCGTTTTGTTTTGCACCCGTCAGTACATATGAGAAACACAGAAAAATTCAAAATACTTGATTTTGCTTTTCAGGTTAGACTTTTCTTTTAGATCATATAGACTCGTCGAAGTTTGAACCCAGACTCGAGACAAATTTCTCTCAATCCGGAGCCTCTCTGCGCTTACAAATGCTCAACAGAAAAAAAGAAAGTTGAAAACTAGATTAGAACTCTCGTTCTACTTGTTCATAATGAGAAAATACCGGACGATACCGCTGGTCATCCCGATGGTAAATCGAACGGTGATCGCGGTTACCGTGCGGTAATTTCGATTTTGCTACCAGTGTAGCTGCCAGGGTACTGAATGGTGATCGAGCGGCAGTTTTTCGGTTTTAAGAACATGGGTCGTATGTTCAAGTCTAAAGAGATGTATATCTGATGATTACCTTGACAACTGAAAGATTTTATAATGGAAATATGTTGTTGTAACGCTTTGTGAAGAACATCGCCACATCGAGGAGATCGTTGTTTAAAACTTTCTTCATTAAGGAGTAGTAAAGCTTTACCTAAATAATAAGATGTAAAATTTGACTATGTACAATATACATGTGCAACACTTACCATTCATTTCATAATCATTTACATTAATGTCTCCCAGAGCATACTCTTCAACACACCATTGAATCCATTTTAATACATCTTGTTTTGACCAAGATTCAATCGGATGAACTAAAGTTGACGACATAATGACGTATTTTCGACTTCAAAATTAAGTATGAAGTCACGCTTCAACTTCCTTTCAGTCTTTCGTTTGTTATTTTCTTTGAAGAACATAGCTACGAACATATCTATACTATTCGCATTTCTTTGTTCTTCTCTTCTCTTTTTGTTGATATCCGCATGTGAGACAAACAAAAACCGATTTTTTCTTCTTACACTCTTTTTCCTTGAAGTTATCGTGCACGTGTGCCGTTTGCCATATGATTTAATTATACAAGAATATACAAATCAAAAAAAGTCTTTATCGTATGTGTGCCGTCTCCCTGCTTCGACTTTCATCCCGTGAACACACTATGATTTAGTTAGAGGGCTCTTGAAAATGGCAGAGCATTTTCTCCAAGGAAAAGGTCTAAGTAGAGTTACCATCTTTTGTCTGTTTTGATAGCAGTGCGAGATACCTAAATTTCATGGGATTATAGACGTATAAACCTACTTAATCGCAGTGATAATCTAAAATTCTGGAACACATTGGATGATCAGAAAGGCGGAACAAATTTACTGGAGAGATTACAAATTGATTAGATCAATTTCATTAAAAAATCGGGAATCCAGCAGAAATTCCAGTGTGATTAGCAGTAGTGTTATAAGTTAAGCATTTTGGATTCTTATTCAGACTACTGTGTTTTCTAATGTTTGATGTTTCTACTCAGTTAAACCGTTTGTTATCTTTAATTCCCCAACAGCCTTTCGGAATCCCAAATTATTCGTAGGAACATTAGGGCTGTTGCGTTTTAGTGGATTTGTAAGACCGGGAATTCAGATGAAATTCTATGGTATATAGAAGTCCCACAAACCTTATTTTGAACTTTTTTTCCGATTTTTAACGGTTTTTTTTCAGTTTTCTAAAAAGTGCATATTCATAAAAAAAAGACTAAGCTGAACATGGCTTCGCAAACACTGCAGCTCTTTTTCTCTTTCGTACTTGTATCATATAAGTGACGCTGCTCACTGACAAAAAAGGCATATGTCATGAATAAGTTCTTCCATATATTAGAGTAGAATGAAGAAAAAGCCGTTTAAAGTCACAACTCCTCGTTTTTTTCACGCTCTACAAAATCTGTTAGTTTTCTTAGCAGACTGTTATAAGATTGTGTTTTGCACCAAGTTTCAAAATTTCCCCCGCAGAAATTGTGACGAGATTCCGTTCGCATACCACCATACTCAATATTTTGTTTTACCAGAAGACAATATATAAGAATCACTATTCTGGTTGAGTGAATTTTCGAAGTTTTTATCATATTAGTATTCATTACTTATAGGTCAGTTTATTTATAGCTTTTACGGTTTATTTGAACAAAACAATAGAATACTTAAATACTAATTTAAGATTAGGAGAATAAGCAAAGTCTCCCGAGTGTTCATCACTTGAGGTCCACGAAATTTTTAGCTTGAGTCTCGAACAGGCATCATTAACAGCAGTGAATATTCTTAAAAATGATCATACATCACGTTCAATTGAGAATAAACAGAAGAAAATATAAAACGCGACTAAGAAGCTTAACACACCTTATTAGCTATCAAAAACTAATGAGGCAAAAACTAAAATTTTTTTTCCTTTCTTGCTTCGCTAGTTCGTGATATGAGCGAGTGTTTATTACTCCGATAAAAGGTATTCATACTTCAATCCATTAACACATGGAAATTATCACAAACCTTCTTTTAGTAAAGTAAGTGATTACTATTCCAGGTAGATGTGCGAAACAAAATACAGCTGACGCCTTGTTGTTTCTGAAGATTAAAGTTTCTATTTGAACTGCGAGTAAATTATTTCGCGAGTATGAAGCCCTTGTTTTATATTTTCAGCCGGTGACTTTTCTTGCATCGCCTGAATGCCCACCACAAACAGTACGTTCAATGATCACGTTTTCTTCGCACTTCATTCTCATAAGTTAATTGAAAACCACTCGTATATATGCTGTTTCAGAAGAGATCTCACTATATCAAAGGATTTTTGTTATCAATTATCAAAATTCTCATCAACAGAATATCTATAATTTACTCTGATGAGATGCGTTCTCCAGGTATTTTGTCTGTAGTCTCGTTACTTATTGAAAACTAAGTTAGAACTAGATGCACTAGACAGTGATGTAGATTTTGACATTAAAAAATAAAAGTAAAAGTACATACGAAGATCTGTTGGTAAACTCATAATAATATTTTTTAATGCTTTTTCGTCGCTGCTACGATTGTTATTGGCTAAATAATTTGTGCCAAGATTGGGAAACGGGCCGTTTGCTACCATACTATAATTAGAAAGAGAAATCAAGTGAAAATCATGAATAACTGATTGATTTCTACAGATATTAAATGTGAATATATATTTTCTAATAAGACGCTTACTATGAATAAGCATACAAAATTTTAATTATGCATGAAAAAGAGTAGTACAGAGTCATTTAATTCATGTATGTGAAAGTGGAATGCTTAAAATATAAAGTATCATAACGTCAATGATGCTGTCAATATACAGAGATGGGAGAAGATACAAAGTTCGTCCTGATATGTTTTTAGCTATACTGATAGATGACTGCGTATGTCTTTTAGATTTTTATTCTCTGTAGTTGCTTCGTAGGCACAAGCCGTGGTCAATAACCGTTTGACTATATATATGTTAGAGTATAAATGTACGCGTTTTTTCGACACATACACCTGCAAAGCTATGTGTGTTCGTGCGTGGAGGGCGGGGGTTCGAAGGGCTGAGTGAGAGTGAGCCCGAAAAGTATTTCCATTTTAAAGGGTCATCAAGTTCCCGTAGAAAAGTAACGGGACTGAAAGACTGAGTATAACTTTTTCATAGCTAAAAACATCTCAGGACAAACTTTGTATCATTTCCCAACCTTCTCAACATATTCGAATAAAAATAGAAAAAATATATCATGACATGAAGAATTTGCGATAATCTTTCATTAAACTTCAAATAGTGTAGTTAATATATTTAAAAGAGCTTGAGAGATGTTATATTTATGCTACTTACTATTGGAAAATTTGCTAGGTTTTTACTATCATTTGAAAAAGTGTCATAACGATATACGTAAATGATATAATAGAATTAAGACGATTTGAATAAAAGGGAAAAAGGAAGAATATCTAAATGTGTGTATCTTTTAACATTGTATATATTTTTCATCTTGTCATTGTTTATCTCTATTTGTATTAAGGAGGTCATAATCATGGGGGTATATATATATTTCTAATATTATAATCATATAATCATATTTATCATATCGTTTGAGTTTCCTGTCTCTTTTAAACAAAAAAACACGAAAAAATAAAACAAATCCTTATCATTTATCATGAAAAAAAAAGGGAGACTATAGCAAAAAGTATTTTTTCCTTTCAAGGTATCCACCGTAATAAATCCAAGCTTTCTCATGCTCTAGAAGGTTGGCAGATAGGGATGGGGGAATTGTACTTCTCATTTTATTAGGCGATCGAGCCTTTCTTTTTTTATTATAAAACCTCGTTCTGACTCCTGCAGAATCATACATTTTTTCCTTCTTCCTTCTAACAAAGTAACTGCGTAATAATATGATTTTCAATAATCTACCTCTACATAAAATTAGCACGTGGGTCTTCTTGTCGTTTTGTAAGAAAATAACTGATTTTTACCTGGCCATTATCGATTTATAATGTGTTAAGTATTCGTTTACTTTAATACGCCTTTTTTAGTTTTACTTTTTTCTTTGTGATACTCTTAGATGACAGTTTTACAGGATTCTTTTGAATATATAAATATCTATAATTCCTGTCTGTAATGAAGTTTAGTATCTGTTGTGTCTCTTGAATATGAGAAGATAATTTAAAACTTATATTTAAAAAAATTTGATCATAACACAATTTAAACTTTGTATTTTCAGAACGAAATAAAAAGACTGAAAAAAAAACGTCTCTCTTGGAAACAGAAGATAACTTGGTATAAGAAAAACAAGAAAAGCTCTCTTGCTCTCTGACTCTATATGTACTATTATATACTAAAATTGAAAAAGAAAAAAGTAGTTGAATATCACACATAGTTGTTCTATGCTATTAATCAAAACTGTATAGAAGAGTATATACACTTCATCAAGTCAGACACAATTGATAACTGAAAATTATTCCAGTGAAATTAATTTTGAGTAGATATGAGAGATGGAAACTGGTTCATTGGCAAGTGTATCTTTCTTTTTTCCTTTTTTGTGCTTTCTTCTTTCAAATCCGTATATTGTACGCATCGGTAATATATGTAAAGTTAAAGAGATTTAAATATATTTTGACAGTGTGAGAAACGGAACAGAACAGAACAAAACGGAACAAAAGAGAATAGATGCTTTTGTTCCACGATTAGAAAGAAAAAAACGTTCTAATTTTAAGACAACCTTCGTATATGATCGAAAAGCAGAAGAAGAAAAAAAAATACATAGGACAACAGACAGCAACAGGTTCTAAACATCATTGCTAACATTGACTGACCGTATGAATAAGGGAAGTGTATAGGATATATGATTAATGAGTTTATTCACCATTGATAAAATAAACTGAAAGTTGAAACTTATATGCCTCATCATGATATTCAAAATAAGAATGTTAAAGAAGATGATAAAGAACTTTGAAAATTTTTTTTAAATCTAAGACTTTTTCAAAGTACAATATATTTATTTGATTTAACTGTCGCGAGATAATATCCATTAGTAGCAGAAAAACTCATCACTGTAATGCGAAGTCTACTCGAAATTAAATTAAAAAGTAATCTATAGGTATTCACATCGAAGTTTGAAAATTTGAATTTTTCACTTTTCTTCTTTCATTTTCTGCATCAAATTTGTATTGTCTTGTGGAAGATAACTAACAAAATTTTAAATTCTATTAAAGAAATTTGCACTAGTATCCTCTTTCGATATCATTCACTGACTACAGCAGAGTGTTACTGTCAACTGTTGGAATTTTAGATAAAATATTGACTATATATGAGGCGATTAAGCTATATTTCGTAAATTTTATCTGTAATTTATTTAAAAGATTTTCTTTCTACACAAAAATTTCTGATAAAAAATGTTTCACTATTCAAAATAGATGGAACGAGTTTGCTTTAATAGGTTTGAAAATAGTTTGTAAAAAACAACTTGAAATTCTCATCTTATTCTTTGTTGTTGTTATTGTTTTTTACAGATGGACGAAATTATTATTCAAAAGTTAAATAATCAACTTTATAAACGGTGTCTTGAACGGGTCAAAAAGTTTCGGGTCATTTTGACCTGATCGTAAATACAATTTAATATCACTAATCGTTATCATCAAAGTTTATTTAGTATTCTTATAAATAGTTACATCTTTGTCACTTTATCCTCTCTCGTTAATTACAGATTACTTACAGCATTTTTGAATTATTGTTCGATATCGGTTGAATTTGTTGTCTATGATTTAAATGTATGTGTGCTATTTATTTGTCTCTTAATTGAACGAACTTCAATGTCGTTTTAATATTTCTCTTTCTCTCTCTCTTTCTCTTATATGTATGCAATATTAGCTCATCAGATTCAATAGAGTTTGAACAAGAGAGAAGTGAAGAAAGAGAGAAAAGAAAATGAGAGATTTAACAATCGATTTCGATTGTATTGTCTTTTTTCGTCATAAAGACGTATATATGTAAAATTTCACATTGTAATATCCCGTTGTGTGTATTGAACGAACTTTTCCTTTAGTTTCACATCCATATAGTTTTTTCTTTCTTTTTTTTTGTTCTGTCTTTTGCACCATCATTATATCCTCAATATTCGTTCTCTCTCTCTCGCTCTCCTCTTCTCTCTGTTTTATATTTTGCAGAAGAATTTAAGAGAATTTTAATTTTAATTTTTGTGATTTTTTCAGCATATGAATCAAAAACAAAACACACACAGAGTAAAGAGACTTTTTTATAGCCTTGTCGCATCTCATTTCTTTCCTTTCTTTCTTTGTTTGTGACTGTGTATGTCTGTACAGGAAGGTAAAAAACTATATGGGCAAATTTTACTCTGTTTTTCTCTTTTGTTTCCTCCTGAACGATTTATTATTATTATTATTATCGTTGAATGTTAAATCGCGAAACATAAAAAACAAAAATTATCGGTGACCTCAAAACGTATAATTTCAATGAGTGTGACCGGAAAAAAAATGTTTTTCGTTTTTTTCTTGTGACAATAAAATAATATATAGAATTCGATTTCTATAAGAAGAAAGAGGACAAAGACGAAAAAGAAAATTCAAATTTTAGTAATCAAGGGTAATAATGGCACCGTTGTTTTTCACAATATAAAAACTACATCCACCTATATACTTAAACAATAGTTTTACAACAACAAATATTATATATCTTACTATCAATAGTTACGTCGTCCTTTTTCAATTCTCCTAATTAGAATTCTAAACTTCGTATTAGATCTGAATCATGTTGATTTTCTTGTACTATCTCATTAAATATACCCAGACTACGAATCCAGTAAGCAATCTCAAACAGTCGTTTACGGCCGATAAGAGCGCCGCTATCAACGCACCCCTAACACGAAATATATTTTGCCGACCATAAACAAAATACGAACAAAATTCATTCTAACAACGTTCTAATTCTACAGAGAAGAAAAATGTCTAGATTCCAGCATTTTTGAAATAAACAACTTTATCAAAATAGTAAATAACTATAGTATCTAGAAGGATAAATTTCCTCTTTAATTATTTATATTTGATAGATGCCTAGTTACTGGCGCTTATAATTGTCTTGAATTTAAATTTTTTTTTATTGTATGCATTTAATGGTGCTTGAACAGGATAATGACTAGTATAAATTTTTTTATCTTTCGTGTTGTCACGTTCGTCTATACATACATACTAATTAGTAAATGAAATATATATGTATGAAACTGTTCCTTTCTATTTTGAGCAAATAAACAGGTGTCTCAACACCATGATGAACTTTGCTATAGGTAAAACTGAAACAAACACAAGACAATTGTCGAATCAATGTCATTATATTTATGTATGGATGTACTGATCGACAAGATTAACTTTTATGTGGTAATGAATAATAAATAATCAAGAACTGTTAAGCCCTTTCATAAAGTAAATGTTTCTATTTATGCTTGGTTAGAATCTTCCATGACTAATGGAATTAGGTTAATCTAAATTCTGCATATTAACTGTCTCTATTTCTTATCAAATACCTATATCTCAGTAAAACTACCATCAAAAAATCTAAATTTCATATTTAAACCTCATCTAATGGTTAGAGACTAT